TATATATATATATATATATATATATATTTGGTTTGGTCACATCAAGTTGAACCACAAAATGAGTGATGAGTTATTATAAATTTGAGATGAATTAAGTCAACTGATTTATTTGACAACTTTTAATCTTGAGTTTAAGAAGGTCATCCACATGTATATGTTAATTATAATTTTATGTTTTGGTATGATTAAATATGATGTTTTTATATACATGTTAATTATTGTTTTATGTTTTGGTATGATTAAATATGATGTTTTAATCTTATAAAGTAAATTTATTATTAGAAAAGTATTGTTATGTTGTTAATTTTACATGGATTTTAATAAAAATGATGTAGAAGTAAAACGTGATGACATTTTTTAATTAAGTATAAAATGTAAGGCATATTTACATTCATTTAAAGAAAAAATAATGTAAATATTGAGTATTCTATTTTGGTTTACTAAGAAATTAGTGAAGTATTCTCTATATCAATTTAAATAAAAATAATATAAAAATAAAATACGGTAATATTTTTGTAATTAAATGTAAAAATGTAAGTATATTTACATTAGTTTTCAATTAGAATTGATGTAAATATGCATATTTTACATCAATTTAAAAATTAGTGTAGAAATCTATACATTTTCAAAGTTATTCTATCTTACATCAGTTTCAAAATAGATATAGATGAGAATATAATTTTAATTAGTTCACTCATAAATCAATATAGATAAAGACATAATTCTACATCATTTTATAGATTAACCTATTATCTATCATACTTGATATATTCTTTTAATTAAAAAAACTTATTTAAAATTACAATCACAACCACTATAATCACTAACAAGTTAAACCTACAATTCAAGGATCAATTATAAAAAAAAATTGTATAAAATTTAATAAATATGAGATTATAACACAAATGATCATTGGGTTATTGAAAGAATAATTATAACAAAACTTGTTCTTAAAATTAGTAGATCATTTTACATGCGTACACACATATATATTACAAATATTTTTAAATAAAATATAAATAATAAAATACTAAATTTATAGATTGTATGTATTTATAATTGCACAAAAAAATATATGTATAAAAAAAACAGAAATGATTGTGAACAAGTTAAATTATTTTTATAAAAAGTTGAATCGAACTATTTATATAAAAGGTAAAATTATTTTTTTTTAATTTTTCTTATATATCATAAAAAATAGTTTAATTTAAAATATAGTTCGGTTTAATTTTGAGAAAAGAATTTGTCGAACTAATTAAAAAAGTTTAATTTGCTTGAATTGTTTTTCAATTCAATTCGGTTGTGACAAATTGTTTTTTAATTTCAGTTCTTTTCAACATTTTTAAATATCCTTATTAGAGAGTTTTTTCCTTTTTTTTTTCTAAAAAAAACAATCTATCAAAATCAAACTTAATAATAAAATATTTACAATAATTGAACTACATGTCTAACTAACCGAACTAGATCCTTACACTGCCTTGCAGTATAAATCTTTCCTTCCCCTTTGTTTTTAGTTCATTGGTTGCTCAAAAGATTTGTTAAGAAAGAATGTATTTTTTTCTTCAAAAAATTATACGGATAAAATGAGTAATTCTGATCATGTGAATCCTCAATTATTGTCGTTTTGGAAGAAGGGATTTGGAAACAGATAAAAGTTGGAAAACCAAAAAACAAATGTCTGTCCACACTCTAATTTCAAAGTCATGGTCATTAAATTAGAGATGCAAAGTTGTTAAGATAACTCACGTATGAACAGTAGTTCCGATAATGACGTTAAGTTGTCGGATTTTAATTACTAATTCATGGAGTAGTGTACAAGATCAAATGCAGCAATACTCATTAACCATAAAGTTACTATAAATTAATCATCGTAAAATAGATTCAAATAAAGGTTAAATAAGTTTTAACTTTCTTAATTTTCATTTATAATTGATTTTAATTGCTATTCCTTATAGATATAAAAGTAAAATGAGTTAACCAAAAGGAGAGGAGTGTGAATTTTTGCCAGAAAAAAAAGTGACTGTGATAGACTTTCACCTGTCACACCCCATCCTCCTTTGCCACTAGAATATTTCTTGGATTCACTTTCCTGTCTGTGACTCTCATGGGGACAATGACCCATCATGTCTACCAATTTTTCCTTTCTTAAAAACATAAACACTTGAATGAATAAATAAATAAATAATTCCTCTTTCACTCTTTTTTTTCTTCAACACTTGTTACACAACCTTTAAGTCCTTTTTGGTCTTTACAGTTTTCATTTTCTTTATAACTTTCATTGTCTTGCTTCTGCTCAGCGCAGGAATCAATAAAATTAACCATACCAGAATTAGGGTTTCTGGCAGCACATGTTTCTCAGTTTTAGCTCTAAGGTTGGTATTTCTAGATTTGTGATTGAAATTTTATGTTGTTGGATTTGTTAATTTGTTTTTCTTCATCTTCTTCGCTGACCCTAGCTCTCAAAAGTAGGGTTTTTTTTTCTCTTTTAGTGATCTGTGCCACTGGCACCGGCTATTGTAGCATGGCCTAATAGGTTGATCGGTGGCAATTATTGTGAAAAACTTTACAAATTTGCTTATTTATTACTTTCTCAGCTTATAATACACTTGCATGTACATTTGGACATATATTTATGTCTTTCCTTGATGGCTTCTTTATTAAGAATCTGGTTTTCACTGTTGTGGTACTTTTCTTTCCCTTTTTTTTTTGCTTGCAAGTACGTTCTCTCTTATTTCTTTTTTAAACCTTTCTTTTATTTGAAGTTTCATCACTTGTGGAAATTTGGGCCATCAAGTGTATTTCTCTTTATTTTCATGTATTAATTAGCTTGGTTTGCAACATAACTTCAGATTTGATTTCAGATCAGGGTGAAAAATGTAGTTCTAACTTCTGAAGACTTTTTTTCTTATGTCTTTCACATTCACTGGCTTATTTGACAAAATCAGGAACATGCATAAAGAAACTCCCCCAATAAATCAACTATTTTATTTTTAAGTCAAATATCATTGTCCATTCTGTGATCACAGCCTTTAATTTGATGTTGGACTCATACCCCTCTTTCTCACTCATTTGCATGCACTTTTTTTGTTAGTAATTATAATACATATATTTCTTTCTAAAAACTCTAATTGATTTTTAATTCCTTGAATATACAAACAAAGGTTAGACCTCCTTATTGAAATTTTAATTGGTTGATTTAATTACAATGAATCATCTTGTGTCAGGAGAAGGAAAAATGTAGATGGGCAGTGTTCTACTTCACATTGGGAGGAAAAGAGAATGAAGGAGCTTCCCTCAGCCCATTCATAGATATGATGAAAGAATGGGTTGCTGAACTAACATGATTCATTCATACAATAGTATTCAGCTATAGGTTTTGCTATTGTGTGAATGAAGATTTGGTAACCCTCTTTATCTGTTGCTTGGACTGAAGGGAGCTCCTTCTTTCTGTTGCTTCCATTTGTATCCACTTCTCAAAAGGCTTTATGCATGTCTAAGCTTAATCAATATGTGCTTAGTACAAAAAAAGGTGCGATCAGTACACTGTAGCTGATGTTACACATCGTCTTCTAGCTCTTTGTAAGTATTAACTCTTTATCACAACTGCCAAAGATTCATCAAATATCTGAACAGTTGCACGAGTTCAATATATAGTGTACTGACCCACTTGGTACTTTTTTACAGGAAAATTGTGTGATCCTCCAAGACATGTCTATAAATCTTACAATAGCACTTGTATATATCTAATGATTTAGTAGTTTGTTTAGTTTAAACTTTAACATGATCACGGTATGTTTATATATACATGTTCCTTTCATCAAGTAGATAACTAACAGTTTGCCACTTTCCTTTCAGGTTGTTTTTGGTACAAGTTTTTCTTCTCTACATTTGAGTTCTTTCTTTCTTTGGGTTTGGGAAAGCAAGGGTCTGTACATCTCACAGGACTAGTTGCAATGTCTATTCTTTTCCATTTTAGCCACTGGCCTTACAAATTATTACTTCATCTGTCCCTTCTATTTTATTTAACGTTTTAACAATTTTCATCTATTTTAATTTTTAATTGTTGTTTTATGGTATCAACATAATATTAAAGATTTTTTATTATATTATTAATTTAATTAATATATTTTTCGTTATTTAATATTTATTTATTTGATAGAAATATAAAAGATTTAAAAGTATATTTAAAAGTTACATAATTTTTTCAGTGAAATTAGAAATATTAATTATATTCTTTTAGTCTTGTACTAAAATTTTAAACCTAAACAAAATGGAATGAAGAAGAGAGTAATGTAAATGTCAAATCATTATTGTGGGTTTGAACTTTAGTTTGAGTACTATTTTTTCACTCACATTATAATTATATGTTCACGTATTTTTCTTTCATCAAATGTCTTTTCCTCACTTCATAATTTTATTTATTTACCTTAATATAATTTATAAAAAAAATATATTCATTTTTACAATCAATGTAACTCATGAGTATTATGGTTGTATTTGCATGTTTTATTTATCTATTTATTTTTATTTGCATGTTTTATTTATCTATTTATTTTTATCAATTTGCATGTTTTATTGAGTGTGAAGACACACTACAAGAAATGTTACATGTAGTGACATGCAAAAAGTATCATTATAGGTACAATATATGTAGGCATTTGTCTATTTGACATATAATTATACACAATTTTAATGTTGATTTTGAATGAGATTTAACATCATATTTTGTGTGTCATTATAGTCTATATTCATACTTTTTAATAATATACCAATATATATTGTAATTATTGTATAAGTAAAAGTAATTTATGATAATTTTGTTAGTAGTGAAAGCAGGATATATATTATTATGAGTCAGATCAAAAGCATCTATGGCATGTATTTCTCAATCCTATTAACCAATTACTCCACCCTTTCATTTTTCGAGGTATGTCACCAAACAAATGCAGATGTATACTCACGTTCGGGTGTTCCCACGTTCGAATGTTCCTGCTTTAACACAGAGCAAACTGCATTAGTTAATACATTTTGGTGTAAGGGATCCAGACATTATTATTGGTTATTACTTTCTCGGCTATACCTGGAGAAGTTGCACCTGCACAACTTTCATTAATATATTGAATAGACATTAGTTTTAGCTAGTAATTTGCCTAGGATAGATAAAAATCTATATAAATGAGTTTTATTCAAAATGTGACTTAAAAATTAGCCGTAAATATAAGGTTCTGACATGGAGTCCAGAATTCAGATGCAACCAAGCGGAAACTTTCTGTTTTCTTAAGTAGACTGAAAATTTGAATAGGCAGGGGTTAAACACTATACCACTGCTTAACTATTAACTTTTTCTGTAAATTTATATATCATCTTAACAACAGTAATTTCAAGTTCCTATTGAGATTTTAAAAAGAAAACTCAAAGTGGAATAATGAGAATAAAAATTTGAATAATGTATTAAAAGATTGTTGGTAGAAAAATTATATGAATATTAAATGTTTTCACATGATATCTAAGTTCTTTTTTATTTATGAAAATATCAAAGTTTATCTTAATAAAGTATCTAATTACAATTGATAATTTAGGTTAAATTATAAATTTAGTCTATATTGAAATTTTTATTTTTATATTATATATATATATATGTGTGTGTGTTTTCTTACATAAAAAGTGACATTTAAAAAAATATATTATTTATTAAAATTATGACTGTGTTGGATTTTTTTTTATATCAAGATCAAATTAATTTCATGAGCACAAATTAATTCTAGGTTAATCATATCTTGTAAGTTATTAATTTTTAATCATCAAATTTTTAAACATTAGATTTTGTCAACTAAAAAAAATAGTATCAAGTGTGGGAATTAATTTTTTTTAAAATTTAATTACAATTATATATGATTTAAGTTTTTTAATGCCAACATTGAATTGAAAATTAAATTTTAAAAAGTTGATTAAAAATAACCTCAAAATTGTTCTAATATGAAAAAATTAAAAAAAAATATTAAACTTAAATTAAATACTCAATAAAATCTGGGTCGAAATGGAATGTAATATTTAGTCTAAGAAATATGATACCACATTACTTTAGTTAGAAAAAAATTATATAATATCTTATATATTATTTTCATCACCAATTTGGGATGGTGGGAATGACAAAAAACTCATGTTTTTTAATTAAATTCTGACTCTTATACATATAATCAAAAACTTAAGTTATGAGAGAATATTTATTTATTTAAATGTCTGTCAAATTTTTTAGAAAAATTACTTTTGTATTTAATAGATTATACTGCTTGATAATAATAATAATAATAAATTCTATTTTTACCTTGTCAGTAATCCCCGCCATTATGTAAACATCATTATCAATCCTATTTCATTGATATACAATATTATCCCATTATGTCTAGCTGGAGGTCGATATGCTGAGCAAAATAAATTAGTCACATGATTACATGTTATAATGTTACTTTTAAATGTTACCCATATTTAACTTGTGTTTAGGGTTGTTCAAATGAGCAAGTTAGTCACGGGTGGAGTGAAGCATCTGGCTAGGGTTGTTGATAGTAATTAAGTGCAGAAAACTTTTGAAAGGGGACCATAATTATATATATTTCTGTGTATATTTTGATTGAAATGCTATTCACAAGTATGGATGAGAGTTATATTTCTGTGAATATTTTGATTAATTAAAATGCTATTTACAAGTATTTGTAAAAAATGTGTTTGATTATATTTTAATATTTTTAAAATTAAAAATAATTTGAATAAAAATAATGAAAAAAGGAAGTTATAAGTGTGTTAAATTGTAAATTTTAATATTTCTATAGAAATATCACATTCTTACACTCTTAACATGGAATAAAAAAAATAAGAAACATGGTAAAAAGATATTTTTGAAAATGAACAACACTCATAACAAACATGAAAATATTACATTTTCATCTTCATATTTGTTTAGAATAATTTTTAATCCGTAAAACGAACACCCCAAAAGTTAATTTAACGAAGGATACAATCCTCCAGTCATAAATTTTTATTTTAAGCTTTTAATAGTAATTAGTTAGTAAACATTTTGTAAAAAGTCAAATTAATTAATTAATTTATTTCATTTGCTTCATTGTTAGGGATTCAACATATGGATTGGATTGGTTTGGTTGGTTTGGTTGGTTTGGTTTGATTTCAAATCAATCCTGTATGCTTTAATTTATTTGGTTTGATTTCCAACTCATATATTTTTAAAATCTCAATTTAAAATATAAAATAAGCCATCAATTTATCATTAAAAATACATAAATATATTATTAAAATAATAAACAACAAACCTTAAAATTAAAATATTAATTTAAGTTTATTTATTAAGGTAAAATATTATCATATCTTAAAAATATATAAAATGAAATATATAAAACCAATTTAACTTAATTTCAAATAAAAATCAACTTAAAAATTGGACAAACAAAAGTTAAATTTAATAAATTTAGTAATTGAGTTAAACTCAATTATAAAAAAAGTAATTTAATTTTGAATGTAATCAATTGGTTTACCAAGTTCATTCAACTCGATAACCCTCAATATCAATTGATTTTCTTTTATTTTATAAAAAATAACCCTAAAAATTAAAAGTTTTTGGTGGACATACTCTTTCTCTCTTTCTCTCTCTCTATATATATATTATTTTCAATTTGGGTACTATTTTTAAAGAGAAGGCTGGTTGTTTTGCAATTTTTTTTAATCACTATTGTTGAAATGTAACAATCGTAGACGGCTGATTATAGAGATAATTAAAGAAAGTTGTCACTCAAACATCAATATATAAAATAGAAGTGAATGAGTATATATTATTTGTTTTTAAGATTTCTTAATTAGACCGGATAAGGTATGAAATAGTGTGTATTTGCATCCAGCTGTTTTGACACCTTCTACACCATATGTGATATTAAGTATAATATAAAGAACACTTTAATTAAGAATCGAGTTCATGCATAAGAAATTAAGTAAATAATATCAATTTGGCAGACGATACCATATAAAAAATTTCTCTTATTAATACTTTAATAATAACTTTAAAATAAAAACATAATCAATTAGTCTAACTTCAAGTTCTAAAAGAATGACTCCAAAAAAAAAAAAATCTTATACATCCTACTACCACATATCTTATAAAAGTACTCTTAAATAAGGACTAAATATCATCAACATCCTAATAAGTCTCACCTACAACAATAACATATAAAAAAACAACATAAAAAATAAAGAGAGAAACATTTAATTCTAGCTTACGATGTAAAATATATGTCAAAAAGCTAAACACACTCAAGAATAACATAGCACTGCCATATACATACATACATATATATATATATATATATATATATATATATATATATGTATGCATGTATGTATGTATGTATATATGAGTTAATCATCTATACATTGTCAGTGTATAATTTTTTTACACTGGCAACCAATTATATATTTTAATTGTTCATGTCACTGTTAAAAGTAAATGTGTTTAAAGTGACATGACACAATTAAAAGATATAATTGGTTGCCAGTGTAAAATTTTTTTACACTAACAGTGTATAGGTGATTAGCATGAAGTTGGCATTCTGGAACGGGCCGTTATGAATTTAGAACGGCCCGTTCTAACAGCAGAACGACCTGTTCTGGTATCAAAACGGTTCGTTCTGCTGCACTCATGTTGTGTTAAATTTGCATTTGGAACGGCCTGTTTCAGCTGGAAAATTAACGCATAACATGTGCATGCAGAACGGATCGTTCTGGTTTCAGAACAGGCCGTTCTGGTTCTAGGTGTATTCATGACATTTGACATCTACCTATGCATCTACGTGGCATCCACCTGACATTCAGGAATTAATCCTGTTTAAATCATTTGGACGAAAATCCTAAATTGTAATGATTTAAATTATTGGGGACCAAATTGAGACCTAAAATTAAAATGAAACTAAATTGAAACAAAAAATATTATCAGGAACCAAAAGAGATTTTTAACCTAAATTTAACAATATTTTATTTATGTGGTGTATTATTCACCAAATAACAAAAAATAAAAAATTCTCTAATAACTTGAGTATCTATATTATTCTCCTCGGACTTAATGTGTAATAAACTTCCGAGTCCACTAATTTGCAGTGACATTACTAGTCGAGTTTAAGTAAATTTTTCTTTATAAATTAAAAAAATTGACTATAAATATGGGGTATATTCCCTTCCGAAGCCAACAATAACTCAACACAAGGCATCCTTTTTTACTTATGGCAAAAGAGCAGCATGAAACTGATGAAAAAGAATAGTTACACAGCCCAAAAAATAATTGTTCTTTCAGCTTCCAAGAAAACTCTACAGCATTTTCTCTAAGACGGTTAATTCAAAGAAAGTAGAACTCTTATGGCATGGCCATATCTGATAGGCTATGTGCAGCCAAACATAATAATAATAATAATTACATTATAGAAGGTGCTTAATTGTAGTTCAGAAAAGAGGATCAGTTGCAATGGTAAGAGTTGGATCAGCCCCTAGTCCAGAAGGAACATCAAATCCTGACACGAAATTATCACCAAACATTACAGCCCCAGCTGCTAGTGCTCCAGCTCCTGCCCCAATTGCAAACCCTGGAGGCCCCCTCTGCCTAGGGCCTACCCCTGATGTTGATGATGATGTTGGCATGTTGAAATAACTAGTTCCCATGCCACCACTATTTGGAAGATAAGTGGGAGCATAACCATAACCAACATTTGAGGGTGGTGCTGGTGGTGGTTGATAACTTGGTCCACCCACATAAGGAGGGTTAGTATAATCTGCAGGAAATGGTACTGGATGTGGGTAGGGGACATTAGTTTTGGCCTGTTTTTCTAGCCCATGGAATGAAGCTTGACCCTTTTGCTGTGGATAGGTTTGCCCAAATCCACCCCTTGTAGTCAAGTGATTAGCATTATTGCCATAATCTAAGAGCACTATTCCTCCCCCATCACCTGCATAAAAAACATAAATCACTTTAAGATGTAAAACTCAATCAAAGTTGCAAACTTTTCCTCTCATAAATGAAACCCATTTTGAACATACCCGATCAAAACATTGGTTGTGACTGAAATATAAATATACCTTGTTGTGGGTGAAAATTAGGGTCTTCCTTCTCCTGAGAAACACGGATTGAAACATCAACAAAGCCTCTCGGCTTGTTGGATTTCTTGTTCCTTAATTGGTAACTGCCAACTTCCTCAGAGTTGTGTCCCTGCTTGGCGAGAAACTCTCTGAGAAGAACAGTAGCGGAGCCATGAAGCTTCTCGGTGAGGAACACGGGGTCTCTGCTGTAGACTTCAACGTTGAGTGCAAGATCCGGGTCTGAGCGATGAACCTGGAGGGCAAACTTGGTTCTCCAAAGAGGGTTTGCATTCCCAGAAGCATCAACTTTGGTGCAGTATTTGTTCTTGGGATCAACCCACCCAACTGCATACCACTGACGCTTCCAGAGTGAGGGTGAAGCCCTCACCCCGCGAGCGGATATCAAGCATACCTCCATCCAGATTTCGCCCATTGGAGAGGGGAGGAGATAAAGTCAAGCTCAAGGGCTTTGCACTTTGCACTGTTTCGATTTTCAAAGGTTGCTTTAGTGCTTGCTTTGCTTTATTATGGGGAGAAAATTCCTATACCTATGATATAAGCACCGTATTGTGACAACTTTTTCTTCGTCTTAAAGTGTATCACAGCCAAGCAGAATCTGTTTACATTTCTCGACATGTACATTGGGATACATGAAACCTTTTTGGTACTACTTAGGGATGTCAATGAGATTAGTCGGATACAGGTTTTATGATATTGTTTCTGATTCTGTGATTTAAATTTATTTCCATATTTATATTTATTAGGTATATAATTTTTGTCCGGTTGAGTATTTGATATACCGGTACTAGTAAAAAATTATTTTATTTTATTTTTTATAAAAAGATATATAATATTTTTAAATTATTTTTTTATTATATTACAATTATAATTAGATTATTTTTTTATCTCATATTTTAATCAAGAGACTTCTTAATAATTAAATAACTATAAATATTTTACATTATAATAAATAATTACACATAATAAAATATTAAATTTTTTTAACATAATTAAATCAAAGGTGAGTATTAAATCGGGGATGAGTTCTTGCATGCTACATGTTGAGTCCCTAGTCTAGCTCATGTTCTTGCAAGTTGGGGAGCTAGATTAGGGACTCAACATGTAACATGGAGGAGTCCTCCAAATTTTGTGTTTCAAGTGTACGGGGAGAATCTCTGTTCCTTACATTAATTTCATTTCTTTCTTGTTTTTTGTCTTTTATTTTTTTCACAACACCAAAAAAAAAAAATCAGGGATGGGGACGGGAACAGGTACGAGAACAGGTATGGGGTGAGTAAGTATATACTCGTACCCGGTCAAATCAAGTATTTCCCGTCAAAGTTTGGATGAGTTCAAATATTACCCATGAGTACGAGTTTATTTGTCATCCCTAGTACTACCATTATTCCCTCCTTTTTGCCGAACTAAAAAATTTTAAATTTATTTTTAACTTAAATGTCTTTTTTTCCTTCAAATATCTTTTTTTTTAAAAAAAGATTATTTACTTTCAACGTCCCAATGTTCTTTGTATTATTTACTTTTTTTTTATTTATATTTTTAATAGATTCATGGTATGTTACATAAGATTGATAATGCTTTTGTTTTGTATGCCATTTTTTTACTTGAGGGAAAAAAATTATGATAAGTTGAATGAGGCCCAAAAATAAATTGTTGTGATAAGTTGGACTTAGAGGAGGCGAACCATGCTGGGCCCAAGCCAAGGAGCGAGTTTGGGCCTACCATTTGTGGACACCGTGTCCCTATAATAATCCATTCACGGTACACTTATTTGAAATCCTTTCCACTCCACATATACTGTCTCCTCGTGTTATATATAATGTTTTTTTTCTTTTTCTATTTTTCTTTTTCTTTCTTTTCTTTTTCTCCATTCTCTTCCAAAATTTGAAAACGAGATCGAAACTCGAACTGGAAGAGTAGCACTGAGACCAGCGTTCTCCGAACCCCAACTCCCCGCTCTCAGTAAATTCTCGCCGGATTTAGGGTTTTCCCTCGCGCGGCGGGGCGGCGGTGGAAGCCTCCTTCGCTCGTTGACATGGAAGGCGGAGGAAGGCGGATCACGGTTAGTCCGAGGCCGTGCTGCGGCCGGCGCGTGGTGGCGAAGAGGAGGCCGCGTCCTGTGGATGGCTTCGTCAACAGCGTCAAGAAACTTCAGCGGCGGGAAATCAGCTCCAACCGCGACCGCGCCTTTTCCATGACCGACGCTCAAGAAAGATTTCGCAACATTCGATTGCAGGTGAGTTTCAATTTCATTTGTGAATTTAAGTGAGTTTATATGCTAAGGAAGAGTAATGAATCTATTCAGACTTAATGAACTGGTTGCGGACTGAAGCCTTCTTCTGTTTTTGTGAAATTTTGGATGCGGAACAATTCTAGGGTTTCATGTGAAGACTATTAGGTTGATTAGGTTTGTCTTAGGAGAAACTATACTCTCAAGTCTCAAGCTGTTTCTGTACATGATGAATTCTCTTGCGTATATAGGCTTTTCCGCTATGATTTTATCAGGGAGGATATTGTATATAGTTTAACTATTTATGGTGATTTTACAGATGTTAAGGACTAATTTGAGCCTGACATGTGTTTGTTCCATTCGATATCTAGCACAAAACAACAGGCAATCCGAATAAGAGATACTGGGAGTAGAAAGATAGCTTAATGTGGATGTGTGATTACTTAGGTCAGTGTAAATTTGTCCAAGGTTAAGAAGGTTTATTGCTTAGGGAGCAAGTAGTAGAAAATTTGATTTTGTATATTAATGCTTACTCAATGAATGTTATTTTGTTCATGGTAAGTCCCTATTCATTTGTGTAATGGAAAATTTGAAACCACTCTATTTTAAATTTTTGGATGCTGAGAAAACTGTGTGTTGAGGGAGCAATAATAGTACAATATTGGTAAAAAACCACCCCATTTTAAATCATTGCTGAGGAAGAAGAGGAGTATGTAGCGGAATATTTGACTTTCCATGATAATGCAAACTCAATGTGTTATTTTGTTTGTTGGAATTCTCCGTGTATTTGTGTAATGCAACATTTGAAACCACTCTATTTTAAGTCGTTAGATGCTGAGAAAACTATGTGCCTCCTCTTTTCACTAGTGATATGTGTGCTTTGTTACTATACTCATTTCTCCATTTCTTGTGATTGTGTTTTATAGGAAGAATATGATACACATGATCCAAAAGGTCCTTCTTCATCTGTTGTATTACCATTTCTGAGAAAGAGGTCAAAGATAATTGAGATTGTAGCAGCACGTGACATTGTTTTTGCACTTGCACAGTCTGGTGTATGTGCAGCATTTAGCCGAGGTAGTGCTTGTAACTGATTGCTGGTGTTTATATCTTTAAATATTATATCTGAACATGCTGTTAAATTCTATTTCTAACATAAACATGCATGCATGATAATGTGTTAAATATTTCCATCGTTTGCTGCATTGCAGAGACCAATGAACGGATATGCTTCTTGAATGTCAGTCCCGATGAAGTCATAAGGAGTTTGTTTTATAATAAAAACAACGACTCACTCATCACAGTTTCTGTCTATGCATCAGACAGTTACAGTTCCTTAAAATGCAGAAGCACACGAATTGAGTAAGTATAGCTCGCTATTGTTTTTTAACTCCTAACCTTGTTTTCCATGCTCAACAAAAGAAATCTGTAGGAAAAATAAAAGTGTCAGAGGGAGATAGAGTGTTTAAAAAAAGCAACAGATAGCAACTGATGCCTGTCCAATTTTGGGTTGTTGTGTTCTATGCTAAAATATTTGTTTTCCAGATATATAAGGAGGGTTAAACCAGATGCTGGCTTTGCTCTTTTTGAATCTGAATCACTTAAGTGGCCAGGATTTGTAGAATTTGATGATGTAAATGGGAAGGTACTCACATACTCCGCGCAGGATAGGTAAATATTTTGTTATTCTGATGCATTTGTATGGTAATATAATATAATTATAATATTTCTAAGCTACTTGATTGTGATACATTTTCCCCCCTCTGCAGCATATACAAGGTGTTTGACCTGAAAAACTATACTATGTTGTACTCCATTTCAGATAAAAATGTACACGAAATTAAGATCAGGTAATTTTTCTTGTTTTGCTTTTGAAATTTCCTTTCCCATATACAATACACTACCTTGGATATATGGTCTATTGCAATTCACAATTGTTTTAAAAATTATATTGCATTATTTACACTACTTAGGTCTTTGTTTCATGATTTTTCAGTCCAGGGATCATGTTGTTGATTTATGCTAAATCGAGTAGCCATGTCCCACTTAAAATCCTCTCAATAGAAGATGGTACGGTTTTGAAATCGTTCAACCATCTCCTTCATCGGAACAAGAAGGTGGATTTCATTGAACAATTCAATGAAAAGCTCCTTGTTAAACAGGAAAATGAGAACCTCCAAATTCTTGATGTAAGTAATTTTCTTGTTTATACATGAGTTGTACATTGCTGATTTTTCTACATCCTAATCTCTTTAATTAACCTCAGGTTCGGACTTTTGAGCTAACAGAAGTTAGCAGAAGTGAATTTATGACGCCATCTGCATTTATATTTCTCTATGAAAACCAATTATTCCTGACATTTCGTAATCGAACTGTGGCTGTGTGGAACTTCCGTGGAGAACTTGTAACTTCTTTTGAGGACCACCTCCTGTGGCATCCTGACTGCAATACAAACAACATATATATAACCAGTGACCAGGATCTCATTATATCATACTGCAAGGCTGATTCTGATGATTCATTGTCTGAAGGAAATGGTATTTTCCTTATTTTTTATCCCTGACCTGACCAACTGCTCCCCACACTTTTATTTCAATTAATTTTGTTTGTTTTTTTTTTTATGCACTTTGTCCTTGTGCCATTGGAGGCACAGTGTGATGAATATTTTTAAAGGTATTTTTAGTTATTTAACTGAGAGATGTTTTAATTAAATGTTTTACATGTTGACTAAGCTAAAATTTAAAACAGGATAGCAAATCAAACAATTTTTCAATGTGTCGGTGTCAGTTATCAATTTATATTTTTAAGCGAGCACCGTCTTTGAAGTTACATTACTAACAGGCTAGGCATTTTTTGATACAGCAGGATCCATTAATGTAAGCAACATTTTAACTGGCAAGTGTCTTGCAAAGATTAGGGCGAGTAATAGCCTTCCGAAGGTGAAAGAATGCAGTTGCGGTGATGACAACTGTTCAAGTGGTGGTGGATGTAATTTGGGAAAACGAAAGCGTGTCTCCAGAATTCGGAGCACAGTTGCTGAAGCCTTGGAAGACATTACTGCTCTCTTCTACGATGAAGAGCGCAACGAGATCTATACAGGCAATAGGCACGGGCTGGTTCATGTCTGGTCTAACTAAATAATGTATTGTTGGATTTATTGTTGTCTTTTGTTTTCTTATTAGCATTTATCCAAGGTTGCGGTGATGATCCTCACTTGCTATGCGAATTTCTCGGAGAGTTGTAACCATTTAGTGTTCTTGTATAATTTTTTTAGATTTTGGCATCTACGTCGTAGGCAAGTATAATCCGTAGGTGGCAACAGCTCTGTATCAAGTAATATTGTTTGTATGTTGGTAGCTCACCACATGTTTATGCTGTAATCTATATTACATTTATGGTGTGGGCTCTTTGTAGCGAAATATGTGAATAGCGTTCTCTCTTCTCTGCCCGTTTCTTTCTTTGATACTTTGCCTTGTGGGGACTACAGTGTAGTGACCTACTTGCTCTCACATGGATTGTTGGAGCTGTAAAGGGAAAAGTAATCAGCAGTGTTGTAGCTGATTTACACTGGCTCCATTTTGTACTTCATTCAATTCAATTATTGTGTTTCTTTGTAACTTTCTCTATCGTTTTTATCCCAGTCAGTTGCCAAGCCAAATAGAAATGAACATTACCACTTTGTTTTCATTGGATTCAGATAACATTTGGATATTTTGAATCCTGTGACTCGCCAAAAATAAAATTATCATCACTGAGCCGTGATTTGAAACGGAAATGAAAGGAGAATACCAATGCAAGATTGTACTAGTAGCAGTTCAAATTATCTAAATATTGATATCATGTTGCATAATATGAGCCGGTGCACTACATTAAAGTTGCAAAGCATGCAATAAATTGTATTAAAAAAATAAGTCTTTTACTATTACTTCTAATTTTTTTTATCTTCTGTTTTCATATAATCAAACAATGAAAAATGAATATATTCCATTTATTCCTTAATTTAACCAATTCAAACAATACAAAATTTCATTTAAATTTACTTATTCTTTTTTCCTATTTATTTTTCTTTTCCCCCCCATTTTTATCTCATCCAAAAAAAAGTGTACATCTTCAAAATATGAGTTTGCTTTCAATGGAAAAATCAACCTCTATATATTAAATACGAATTATTATTTGGTGAAAGAATGTTTTTAAAAACTTTTTTCTTGATGAGAATTTTTAAGAATTTTTTTAACTTATACAATTTAATTTATCAAAATTATTTATGAATTAAATTTTAATATTTTAAAATAATTTATTATTAGATTAAAATAGTCTTGTACAGTTGTACTACAATATAAATTATTTATCATAAATTTTTAATATAACTTATGTTTAAAATATCTATTTATATAATTTTTAAATATAATTTATATTTTTAAAATATACATAATTTATTATAAATTTTAGTTATAGATATTAAATATTTACATGTTAAAATACTAGTTATTTTTAAAATGTGATACACATAACAATTTATGTAATATTATTTTATGTTTATTTCTCTTGTATAATTTATTACATTTTTCTTTCTTTTTCTCATTTAGTTCTACAATCTTTTTTATCACGTAGTTGTACATATAGTATTTCTCATATTTTTGTTATATGTAAATAGTGTATTATTTAATTTTAATTCAAGATTTAGTTTTGAAAAGGAAATTATATGGCTAACATTCAAAAAATATGTGTAGTTAGATTGATTTATTTTTGTAATTTTTAAAATTTAATAAAATTTTTCTTTAAAAAATCAAAAAAGTATTTTTTTTTAAAAATATATAATAACAGTTGCAATTGTTGCTGGCATGGATCGAATGCTTTTGCACGTGGAAAATCTTGATAAATTGTTTTTAATATTCTTTAGCACACTGACATTGAGTGAAATTTATTCAAAAAAATGCGAGTATTAATTATATTGGATTTGACTTAATGAATGCTATAAATTTGTCTAATCAATTATATTGATTTAAAGATGAATTTAATTAATTAGTTCATTTATTTCAAATCTAAACTAAATCATTTATAGTTGATTTGATTTTGTAATTTTTTTTTCTGAATCAACCTAATCATGATTAATCCAAACTACTTATCTTTCCCTTCCTACAACAAGCTTTCTCTTCTTCGAAGTGGGTCATTGAACAACAAGTTTTGGTTGCTTTGTCTATACAGTGAAATTTTTTGCCTCAATAATGATGAGATATTGTCTGCTTTGGGTCTTAGCCCTCACAGTTTTACTTTTGGTCATCACTCAAAAGGCCTCTCAATCATTAAAGTATGTTTGTGCTATATAAGTTGTTATTTCTTGTTTTATTTTATCGATGTGGGACTTGTTTGTATCCCAACAAATATCTTAGTTATTGTCAACCATGTTAAGTCATTCAGAAAATCACAACTCGGAAAAAAGATGGAATGACAAAATTTTCTTTTCATGACATGAATCCAAGAGTTTCTCGGCAAGGAAAACAAAACATAAAATATAAAAGGTTGCTTGAACCTGCATGTCTTGCTACAAATATATTTATTCTAACCAAGTTCCTCTATGGACTACCTTTGAAAATTAGCCTTAGAAGGTCAAACTCCTTCCAAAATTCCTAATTAATCCCTACTGATTCAGTAAGACATCCATGCTGATTTACTAGTGTCTGATAAGGGCATGGTAATAGCAAAACCTGATTCTTGGTGGTTAAGTTTCTCTAGGAGATCCTTTATTAGGTTGCCTCCTATGTATGAGACTCCTGAGGCTGCAAGTGCCAATGTAACATAGTATGACACAGTTTTAATATAGGATTTGGGTGGTGAGCTTGTGTAAACTTTCCCAATAGCAAGTAGAATGATGCACACAATAGAAGAAGCTGCTACTGAGGCAAGCTTAACTTCGGTGTAGTAATTCTTATTGATCAAGACGCCATAGATAACAAGGGGGACAGCACCAAATATCAGGAATGATAAAACAGCTACAACAGCATGAAGCAAGAAGTTCGCTCTACGTCCAAGTAGTTCTTGATAGCGATCTTGCACATTTGTTTGCACTTGATCGCCTCCGGTGTGATCATTTTTCAAGTCAATAAGCTGTGAAAAAGAGAGCATTGACTTAGTTTTCGTGTTGCTTTAGTTCAAGAGAAAAAGGCTTGACTTAAATGGGTCCATGGTGCATTTCAGGATTTGAACATGATAATCATATTCAGAACACTTGATCCCAGCTATCAGATCACACATTCATGCACTATGTTCTAAACAGACTACACGTGATGATGTATAACTAGAACATAAAAAATTAGCCATCCTTACAAATAACTAATCTTTAGCATAAAAGGTATTATTATGATAAGATAACGAGAGCCACATACAGCAAGATGTTTAAAGACACACAAGAGCAGCTAATAGTTATGATTGCATTTCAACTTACCATATTATATTAGTCATTCATTCTTCAACTCTCCATAATAATATCTCAACATCATATTTCAACAATAAAAGAGTGCTAGAAACTAACAAGCTCTTTCTAACACATTTTTTCTTAGCTAAAATTTATTGAAAATTATAAAATTAGGAGAGCTTTGTTTAATGAGAAGTAAGACCGACCAAAATTTGTGATTTTCAATAAATTTTAGTTGATGTATTCAAAAGAATATTAGAAGATGTGTTGCTAGCATTCCTCTAAAGCTATATTTTTTTTCATGCACAAACAATATGTAAAAAAGGAATGCCAAAGATTGATGATACAATTTATAATTACGAGATTAAAGAGCACATGGAAGCTCACTCACATTATGACCAAGGATGAAAAGTCCACCAATGATATTTGCAAATCCCAATGCTATAATATTCACTACAATAAACAAGAGATCAGAAAATTAATTTGTCATCAACCAATTTTTCATCTTTTAAGATATGAAATAACAAATTAAAAAAATTGAAATAACCCCTCAAGAGTATAGATACTAATCCTAGCAATCTCATGAAACCAGGAGATAGAAGGGATAGTTCTAAATTGAAGTAGAACTACTTGAGAACCAAGAAAGCTTAGGACTCAGATTTGACTAACAAGCATCATATATGATTCTGTACACAGGCAGAAAATTTTGAAGTCTAACAAATACACTTGGTATCTTTTTTGTTTGAATATTTAAAAGAGGACATGTTGGGGTACAAACAAGGTCCCACATCAATAAAATAACAATTTATTAAATACACACATATTCCAATGGTTGAGAAGTCTTTTAAGTGATAACCAAACGTAAAATCGTGAGAACTTATGCTCAAAACGAATAATATCTCACTATTGTGAAGTTGTGTGTGAAATACCCTTATATAAAATAACAAAGTTATAACCCTCCTCTTGATATAAATATATCCTCTCAAAGAAGTCGTAAAAAATAACCCCAACACATGCTTCATGGAATGAGGGAAGATCTGAGTATGTGATCACTTCATGTATGGAATATTTTACCAGCATGCTGCAAGCCTGCAGCTTTGTGTGTTATTCATTAATTATCAAAATGGTCTAATTTGTATAAAGTTTATAGTCTCACCCATGACCCCTTTTATCTTTAGATATTTTTAGCAAAGTTGTGAACACCAAGCATGACTTAATTTTTTAAATACATGTATTAATTCATACAAGTGAAATAGGATAGAAGTCATAGACAAGGAGCATCACTTTGCACTAAAGTCATGACCTATAGCCGCAAAATCTTTGTGAATTCAAAGTCACGAGCCATGGCTCCATCCATACCACAAATTTGAAGAGCTCTAGCTCCATCCCATGTTATTATATTAAATTCTTGTAAAATATTTTGAAATTATATATTTGTTAGCTTATTTAAATGTAGGTTTGCCGGATTAGTTAAAGGGCCTCACTACTAAATAAGCTTTTTAGCTAGACTAGACTTTTTAAAAGCCTTAAAAAGACCTTTGTAATGTAAATGAAGGTCTTAGTTTTAGGAAATAGGCCACTCTTGTTTAAAGTAAAGACTAAACTATTTTCAGCCCCAATTATACATGTATTATCCAATCAACCCCCTAAAGGAAGAGAGAGAACACTTACATGGGGTAGCACCCGAACTAACAGCAGATGACACAATTCCTAGGCTTGTGATTGACTCAGCCAGACCACCATACACAATGCTTTTAAGTATTTCCCATCCTTGAGGTTCACCAACTTCTTCGCTTGGTCGTTCATCAACTTGTACTAGAGTATGTGATCCTGTTATAATAGCACCTTCAGGTGGCATATTATCTGCTGTCAGGGCTGTTGTGGATTTAAACGATTCTCTCTCCACATCAACTATCACTTCACCGCCTGCACCATCATAATAACTGTGGTTATTACACAAAAGCAAACATGGAAGATATCTTGTGGGAACAAACATTGTAAGTGATACAAGTGAGCATGAATTGCTATATATTGGTGATTAACTGATGATATTTATTTCATGTACATACCTGCATTTTGTTTTCCGGTAGAAGAATCTAGTTCCTTGCCAATATCCTTTTGCACATGTGCAAAATCTGGTTTTGATGGTAAGATAGCATATATTCCAGAATTTTGTTTAATACTAGCTATATCATTTGCAAGTATTGCACTGCCAGATGATTGAATTGGTGATGTTACTCCTTGTACCGAAGAGGAATAATTATTCTCAACAATTTTTTGTTTGTTGTCCACATCCTGTAGTGATTCCTCAAGGACTAGTGACCCAACAGTAGTAGAAACAGGAAATTCAAGTTCCCCTTCATAAGGTTTCAGAATGGTATCTTTTGCAGTTTCTTCAGCTTTAACATTCATCTCGGTTGTAGTAGCAACTGCTAATGTAGCACTCTCATATTTGTAAACCTTCTCAATAGAAATGCTCATTGACGACTTAACTTCAACATTACCTGCTTCAGATGATTTATAAAAGCGAGCAAGAAATGAATTGATGGAATACATAACATAGGAAAGTATGAAAATGTACATTATGTATAATTAATAGGTGCACAGATGTTTCATATTTTCATTTTAACTATTCCAGACGGATAGCATATTTCTATTTCCATATTCATAATGCACGATCGAAAATGTATGATTTTGCTAAATTCTGCTTTGAAAGGACCTGATATTAAAAAAAAAAAAAAATCAAAGAATTATTTTCTTTAAATATCAAGCATACCTGTCTTTGTTATATCTGCTGAAGCATTCTTTTTCTCTCCCTCATTAATCATCGGTTTTCCGTGCAGTAATTGTTCCATTGTCGAAAAATCTATGAAATCTTGCTCAACTTTCTGCACTCCATTCATCAAATCACCAGCACCTTTTGTACAAGACTGTATAGGTGACAAATTCTGAAACAATGAGTCCAATAATTCTTGGTCAGCCAATTAATAATCTCTTGAAGCTGTACGGAATTTGATGTCATTCTCTGTATATGGTACAATCTTTAATTGACTTACAGTTGATGAAATCACAGAATTCATTCCTTCATGATCACGATTAATATCTGGCGTAGTTTTTACATTCTTAGAAACAGATGAATCAGCAAGTGGACCTTTTGGATGAGCAATTTCAGGGGAGGTTAGCTCATCTGAAGTAATTGGTGCTGAGTTATGCTGCTCAGCAGAACCAGTCCTAGAATAATCAAGGGACGCATCACCTGCATAATTATATCAAGAAAATAAGCAAATTGAAGACAGATTGATTTTGTAACAAAAAGTTTAAATCTTGAGCGAAATTCACTGCATGCAAAATGCATGATTTCCTGCATTTCTCAGTTTGCATTTCATATGATTCAACTATTCAAGAAAATGTAAAGGAAAATATGAGAAACTCTATTAATAGGAGATTCAACAGGAAAATAAACAAGGAGTATAAACAATTTGAAATGCTTCTTGGAACAAGTTTTTCAGTAAGCTAAAATATCACATGGAAACATACATATAAAAATGTCTGAAGGAATGTTGTCCATTTTCCATTGTCAAAATATATTCACAAATGACTGAAAAAATACTAACAATAAATGAATTAAAACTCCAAAACAGTTATAACAGTGGCATAGTTAGGATGGAAGCCCCACAGCCCACTCCTGGTGGGGCCAATCTTCAAATAAGCATCATCCTTGTGAAAGTGACTTCTCAAAGAAGTACCATACTAATAATATTTATTTAAGAAATTTCTTACTAGCTTTTTTCCCCCTTTTCAAAGTAAATAGAGATCTGAGCCAATTTGCATTGGAGCCTTGTGGATTTGAAGGATTCTGCACATTGCTTGCAGGTAGATTTGAAGGATTCTGCAAATTGCTTGAAGGTGCAATAGAAGGAGTTTGTGCACCTTCATTCTTGTTGGCACCACCAAAATTACGGAATAGTTCAAAACATTTTCCTGTCCAAATTAATGAGATTAGTAATGAAAAGCACATAATCATCACAAATCAATCAAGATACATCAAAAGAAAACATATAGTTTGCACTAAAGTAATTTTTGCACACATGTTAGAATGATAATTCTTGGAGATATTAAAACATTTGTTTGTTAGCCTTAACCTAATAGCTTAACTTTAGGTTGAGTTGGTACTTGACAACGACAACTTCAAGCATATTAGAAAAATATGAATGTTCGATTCATAATCAGATCTCTTTAAATGGCATATTTTTATGCCTCTTAAATTAATGATAAAGCTTCCTTGAAAAAGTGAGTAAAACTTAAAATCAAAGACCACACTATGCTTTGATCACTGAAAAGGTAATCCACTTACCACTAGGAATAAAGAAGCTGAAGCATGATAAACATCTGAATACTTCTGGTTCTCCATGAGGCTGATTATCATCAGCAGGTGGCTCTGGACCAACAATGACAGATTCAGATGTTACATTTGCATGTTCATCCTGGTTGCCTTCAGGTTGTGCAGAACTATCTACCAGCTCCGAGCTACCTATAATCTCCAACTTATCACGCTTGGCTTTGGTATCTGATTTTTGAAGGTACCTTTTTCTTTTTTTGAGGATAACCCTTTTAGTAATACAAGAATGACAGTTAGGACAGTACAAGTCATGCGTCTCTTGTTTAGCCAACACTGCCTCAACATCAAATTCTTCCAGCTGCTGATCAATCTCTTTTATCAAGTTAGGAGCATCCTTTGTACTAGTTTCTTTATGAAAATTTGTAACAGCTGTAGCTTGTATGTCAGATGAATTATGAATATTGGATAATTCTGGAATGGAAGGGAGCTTGTTGTCCACAGTTTTCATACATTTATCAGTGACTTCGCTGCATAGACTATTTTGAATAACTGACTGATCTGTTTGTACATCAATTTCTCTCTCCCCCAGATTTGTTGGATGGACAGACCCAAAAGCATCACCATTTTGAACTCCATTAGGTCCATTAACTTCATCATCTGCAAGCATGTCACATATAACCATTTCAATACCAAATAGCTAATGGAAAAGAAAAATTAGGATCACATATTTATAAATGCCCAAAATTAGTTTAAAAGACATGGCTATTACAGATTACTCTATGCTATACAGATCTGACATTGTATATATTTCTTCCAAAATCATAAATGGAAATCATAACAGAATACTAATAGAGTAATAGTACAACCAAAATAGCAGACATAGCAACTGTTACAGGATCCGAGTGAGTACCACAGTACCACTAGTGGTGCCAACCGAAAGAATAATTCAAATAAATTAAAATCTGATGTCTAAGCATCTCTCTTGATACAATAGAAACATGAACAAGAGCAGAGCTTGTTTCCATATTAACATTCTAACAACATAAATTTTTTAAGCCAAAAAAGTAAAATTTACGGTACCAATTTCATCAAATTTACAATAAAAGTTACTTCAAGTCCTCACAAATCAATATGGAGAATCCATCTAATTGAAAGGCTATTCAACTAGCTGGTCACATCAGAACTGCTAATGTGTGTTCTAGAATCTGGGCATCCACTGACCTTTAGTTTCACAATAAAAACATGGTCCATGTTGAATCATAGTTTTGACATTCATCATCAAGTCATGGTAACCCTTAAGATTCCAATTTGGCACAGTCCAAGGACTGTCAAATCTCTTGGTCCATGTGCAGTGGTGACATTTCCACATTCCTTCAAGCATAAAAAAGTGGCAGCATGTTTACTAAACATCAGAAAAAGAAACTGATTCCCAGAAATTTGGTAAAAGAACATTTCAGTTGAGCAGAAAACTGTGTCTTATTATTTTGGTCAGTTCCAGTTAACTTATTTATATTGGAGATTATCTTCGTTCACATGTAAGTGGTACTCATGAGACAAGCTACAATACCAGTATGGATTGAGTACTGTCTTCCACTACCCGGACACAGTCTAATTTTAACCGTTATGATGTGCAGATACAATACATGTATCAGATACGATACATATCTGATACAGTAATACAATTATTCTAAAAATATATAAGATAAGATAAGTGTAACATACATATGTGGAATATATATATATATATATATATATATATCAAAATTCATAAAATACAATAAATATATAATTGCAATTCCTCAAATTCAAATTGAGAAAATACTTCTTGGACTTGGACATTATTAAAAACAAAATAATTTTAAACCTAAACTCACAACGAGACAGAACTTCAGAACAGCCAAACTAGTACCAAGGCACATCACAATTCACACAACAACTTGTTAATTTAAAGAAAATCATTAGGAGTGAAAGTGATGCAACAACAATCACACAACAGTGGTTTCCTGAAAAATGTAGCAAACAATCTAATAAGCCAAAAGAGGAGTGCATTTTATCAACCAAGAAACTGATCCTTTCTCCCAAATAGGAAGCCATAGTACACCAAAAACAAGAAAGAAACCCAAGAGAGAGGTGGCGAGGTACCTTGTTGCTCATCAAAGTAAACACTGTTCTTATTCTGTGACACAGCAACCCCACTTATGACCTCTCCATTTGTTGCCACTCCTGCAAATTCTGCCACTTGTGCAAGCCCAACAGCTTCATAATCTACTTTATCACCATTAACATGGTTGCTGTCTTCACCACCATCTCCTATCTCAGCAATTTCTTCCTCTTTCTGAACAAGAGATCCATCTGGGGCTGTGACCACTGAAAAAACTCCATTGCTATGTTCACTCTCATTGCTACTTGAAGAAGAAGAAGAAGAAGAGAATGTTACTTCATTTGTTAATAGACTTCCCTTGCTATGTGAAACAGATTGCTTTCTTATCAAAGCACCACCTTCCATCATTTCTTCTTCTTCTTCTTCTTCATGAGTCCATTGATGTCCTTCTTGTTCCATTGATGTTGGCTACCCCAAAAGGAAACAGACAAAGAAACTGTGACAAGATTGGATTTTTTTGGGTGTTGAGTGGAAATTTAATGTTGCCTAACTTTTAGAGTGTCCACTCTTTTGCATTAATGATATAGACTGCACCTTCCACCTACAACGCGCATGGAAAATGAAGATATAAAATATTGAAGAAAAAATATACCCAGTGTTTAAGTCAACTGTTTTAAGCTCAGAAAAATACATAACAAATTACAATAATTCTGTATCTTCCTGTAATAGTAGTAGTATCTTGGAATAAGATCTTATGCAATTTGAAAAATTGCATCAGTTCTCATCCGTTTATTAATTTTAATGTTTAATAGTTTTAATATTTAAGGAATAAAAAATAATTGCAAGATTTAGAAAACTGGACACTCTTCAATAATCAATATTCTTCCAACTGGAGAAGATCTAGACTCATTTTGCTGATTCTGTTAGTTGCTTTATATGGTATATATTAAATATTTTAATAAAATTTTAAAACATTAAATTTACTTGTTTTCTTAATAGTTTTCAATTTTATTAATTCTTCTACTTCTTTAAATTATAAGTATTAAATATTTTTATGATTATAAGACATTATTTATTTATTATTTACTTTTTTTAAAATATTAGAAAAATTGTAAGTGAATATATGTTATCAACGTGTTATTGATTTAAGATGACTAAATTCAATCTCAATCTCTTGAATAAGATATCAATTTGAGTGTTGTAAATGAAATTGAAAGAAAAAAAGACTATAATAAAGATGGTTTGTGAAGTTTTTCAATTGAGATCATTTACCAATGGTGAATATAAAATGATGATAAAAAAAAATATTATTTATTTAATATTTTATGAAATATTAAAAATTGTAAAAATATTTGTGGGGTGATGTACTATTTTTTTGGAAACAATTAAGAATTTACTTAAAATGTACTTGTATTCAATCATAAATTATATATAATTAAAAAACTATTAATTTCTGTAACTACCATTTTAAAAATTATACTTAGAATGCATTTCAATTAGTTAATAGGATATTTATAATTAGTAATTACATAATACATGAAGTTTGTTTCTACTGAAAAACTGTTTTTTCTGATTTTATCTAAAAATTAAATAAAACTATTCATAGGCTAATGGGACCAACTTGGATCTTCAAGTCTTAAGGTGTAAAGTACGAAAGAATCGCCTTTTCTTTTCTTTTTCTTTTCAGTGACTAAGAATGAATTGTTTTTAATTTCTATCACATGGCCGTTTTTAATTTTTTACGTTTTATTACCAAGTTAATTAAATCATTTTATTTATACAATTACATAAAATTAATTCTACTGTTTATTTTTATTTAAAACTCAAATTATTATTTCTTATTCAAATAATTGAGCTTTTAAAATTTTATAAGTCAAAAAATTTGAAAACATTTTTTTTTTTTGAAAAGTTTTATAATGTGAGATTAAATTTTAAAGGGTAAAAAATTAGATATCTTTTTTATTTTTAGACAAAATATAAAGTTTTAGCTGGCTAATATTCTGGATTAAAAAGGGTTTAAAAAATGTCATCAATTTACTTTGTTAAAAAAGTTAATAGAAAACACAAATAAAATGATCATATTTATTTTATTTGAAAAAGTAAAGGTTAATTAAATAAAAACGAAGACAAAAATGGAGTCAATAAAATAAAAAATAAAAAATATTAAAATACTTTTAATTCGGGGAAAAAATGAAAATGTATAACATAAAGGCATGCAAAAGAAAAAAAAAACAAATTCTCCTTTTTTGTTCATTTAATTTATATTTTCTAATGTACTGTATCAAAAGCTGCATTTATAGTTTTATACAGCAGCAAGTTGATATAATGTTTGAAGTGCAACTCACGTCTAAGCATAAGATATAATTCATGTTCATAAGGGCACAACAAAACATCCCAACAAACACAAGTAAAACTTTTATTTATTCAGTGGAAACGTGACAGCTACAAAATGTTGAACTTAATGATTTCAAGCCAAGGAAGTATAATAAAAAAAATGATATAATTGATGTAAGCTTAGAGAGTGGGGTTCACATGTACTTTCATATTATTAATCCTTCTTATTTAATCTAAATTAATATTCATTATTGATTCTTATTATTAATGAACACTAAGAGGCCCACGTTAATATTCTATATAACTATGTACATGAATGCAAATGAAGTCATCCTTTTGAAATTTGTACTATAACTATGCAAGTTTCTCAAACTCAACCCTACCAATGCTTTAGCATAATGTTGTCTTATTGGAAATAAATGAACATTGCATCATCATATGTGTGGTACCCTTCTTCAATGTTTATCTTTATTGCAACACTTGTCACTATCGATACTTCTAGCATACGTTCTTTTAACTAATTATCAATTAGTTTTGACTAAATACATGTATATATATATATATATTCAAAGATAGAGTTCATAATATATATGAACCTAGTTAGAATTCCTTGTGAATATAATTAAACTTCATTGATGACAAGGAATGATTATAGACACAAACATTTCAAGTAAATCAAGGATAAAAACAAAGGAAGAAAATAACTGGGACAGAAATTAAAATTTGTGAGGAAAAAAAAACTTGCATAATCATTTATATTATGTTTGATCAATAATGTGAAATTTTATTATTCAGATTAGTATCACCTCATTATTTAATAACAAATAATTAATAATAAAGATAACTTTTACATATGTAAAACTAATAATTAGTGAATTGTAAATAAAAAAAACTAGTAATAATTATAATTTAGGTTGAAATATTTTTTTGTTGATAAAAAATTAAGTAATAATTGACTATTATTAAGTTGTTAATTTGAATGAAACTCGAGTCTATAAAAAAAATATGTAGTTAGAGTGAGAATTTATTTTGAAGATGGTTAACTAAATTTTTTAAGGAGATAAATAAATAGAAAAATCAATAAATATTTTGTATGATAATAATATTGTTAAAAAATTAATAATCAACCAAGTTAAATAAAAAATTGTGAAAAACCAAAATAAACATTTAATATTAAATAAACTCACATGGTTGAGTGACTATTGTGTGATCCATATCTTCGAGAATGGTTTGAAACAAATTTAATTAATAAAAAATAAAGTTGGCATATTTGACCATCTTGTGATTCAGATTGAGACAAATTGTAGTTTGGTTTTTGTGAATTTAATGTCATTGTCACGTTTGAAGCAATGTGCTACATTATATGAATTTAAAACATGTTGGAAATCGGAACTAATCCATTCACACCATCTCTTTCAACATCTTCACATAAATAATCTAAATGTGAATGTATCCATTCTTATTCACATCGTGTTCTTTAACACCAGTAAATTCAATGTACCACTATCATGGAAAAAAGCAATCCTTATCTACTTTGAAATAAATAAATAAAAACTAGATAGTTATTTTTTATTTATAAGAATTATAATGATGATAATAAATATAAAATTTTATACATATTATCTCATTTTTATCACTAAATTGATCTTAATAATTTAAGTGAGATAGTTATTATTTTAAAGTGGAATAATATTTTTATACGTATTTGTTTCCTATTTTATCTTTAAAAAATACATTAACACTGAGAGAGAGAGAAAAAATAGGATAAAACCAAAAATATTATAAACATTTTTCTAAAAATGAGCACCAAAGAATGATGTCTGGTTTATATATTGTTAATGATACATAATATTAAATGTATTAAATAATGTAAGTATGAGATATTACTTTTTTTTAATGAGAAAATACATTAAACTTAATCTATTTTTAAATTTTACATTTTTTTTAAAGTATAATTAGGAGTTATAATTTTTTTAACATATTATAGTCTACTTACAGATAAAAATGTATTTTTAACACTGACCTCATGTCTAAATTAAAATTAAATATTAGTATTTAGTTAAAGAACTTTTTTTTTTCTAAAATATCCATCGCACGTTGAACACACCTTAAAAAGTGGGATAACTGGCTCCCAAGATTTAACGCAACTACATACACAAGTCAGGATTCAAATCTCTGACCTTATTTAAGCGTGGATCAACCCTTATCACTGAACTACATGCTTAAGGTTATTTAGTTAAAGAACATAAGTGTTTATTTATACCAAAGATTTTGGATAAATATATTTTTAATTTACATTATAATAATTGTATTTAATTAGTTTAACTCATGTATATTATTCGTGTGACTCGATTATTCTGTTTTAAAGATAATATAAAAGTATAATCATACAAGTAATAGTAACTGTTTTTCTCTTACACCAGCAAGTTAGATGAAACATTAATATTTGTGGTTGAAATATTTATTTCTCAGCCAGTCCCTTTTAAGGCAACTTGTATACTCTATTATATTTTATTTGTGTAGCGTATAGATAAGGATTCCTTATAGTTTGATCAAATTTAATGGAACATTATTATTTCTGGTTTAGATATTTCTTTCCCACCCAACCAGTTTACACATGCATTTAAGGAATCTGTCACTTACTCTTTCATTCTACTGTATTTTATTTGTTGTTTAAGATAGTTACACAAATTAGTGTTATTTTTTAATTAAAATTAAATTTTTATTTTGGTATTATCAATTTTTATTTAATATAAATTTCATTAATATATGTTTATATATATTGTAAAAAAAATTAATTTTAATTAGAAAATAACATTAACTGTATCTAAAGAAATGTTATTGAATTTTTTGTTTGGAGAAAATATGACACCTATGCTCTTCAGACTTCTTGATATTGATTATATATATGTATAAATATTTACAATTAACTAATATTTGTTATTTATTGAAATAAAAGTTTAATTTTCATGCACTTAGCAAGGTAAAAAAGGTTTATATGATTAACCAAACATAAAATATTTCTAATATACTTTTAAAATGATTATTTGGAAATTAATAATTTTTTTTGTATATGATAATTTATGATTATTAAATGATAATATAATTTTTTTTTAATTATTAGTACATATATTATTATTTATTGCTATTTTCCAAAAAAATATTAATGTAAATAATCTTTTCTCACTTATTTATATCAAGGCAAATATTTTTTTTATAGAAAAAATTAATATATATTTTTATTTAATTAAAAATAAATGATAAATTAAAACTATTTTTCCTTCTAAAAAAACAAAAAGAAGATATTGAATCGCCTCCCTCCCTCATCATTATATTTTTCTATTGTTGCACATGTTGGTCATCCATCACATGCAATATGAACCCATGAGAAGGAGAAATTTATGGAAGTGTTAGAATCAATTAATTAATAAAACATAATGTAAGGACTACATAATTAAAAAATTGATTACATATGTTGTAAATTGATCCCAAGTCAACTCTTAGCTGTTAAAGAGTTTTGTTTTCTAAGAATGGAATAGAACTTGTGCATGACAAATGTCTCCATCTTCTTATTAATATTGGACTCCTTCATGCTATTGTCCCATACAATATATTATTGTCTTCATTGCATTCTCATATGTGGAAACAGGGAAGGGACAGCTACTTAAGCGTATCAAAATCATATCACATTTGAAGACTATGAGCATTAATACTTTAAGGTTTGAATGTTAATTTGGTGCAAATTATTTAAGTCCTGAATTGTTAATATAAGATTTTTTTTTATATTTTTTTTTTAATTTCATGAAAAGCAACTAACTTGTTGATTTGAGTGAAATTGATCTCAAACGAAGTTACAAAAAGAGAAACTAGTTACTAAAGATGATTAACCAGATTTTTCAATCAAAATTGATTATCAAAGTTTAGGAAAACTTTTCAAAATTATATTATTATTTTCACAAAAAGTTGCAAATCAAATGGCAATTTCAGGTTGCATCCAGCACATAATTATATTGGAATGACGAAAGGGTCATATTTCCAAGATGATCTGTATATGTATCATAATTCACAATATAATACGAAAATTTAGCAACACAAATGTGGGGATAGCTATAATGTACTTCTATAAAATCATGTAAATAAAAATCAAAGAGAAAGAAAAATGGTATTTAATAAACACATGCTGTTCTCTCTTCTTTTTTTTTTTTTTTTTTTTTTTTT